GTGTGATGGTAAAGGTAGATTGACAGCTTTGTTGGCTTGGGAGCCACCCAGATGATTAACAAAGCACACTTCTGGATGTGTCTAGATGGGTCCTGGAGACATGACCTTGAGGTCTACATTTGGTCCCTCCTCTTTCTTCTTTGCTATTTCCATGCTCGGCTTCTTACCTGCTATGGATTAAGCAGCTTTGCTCCACAAAGTCCTTCCACCACAATGTTTCTACCTTGTAGCCAGCCAACCACGGAGAAAATCTTCCGAAACTGTGAATCCAGTAAAATGTCTCCTTCTTTAAGTTGTGTGTATCAGGTAATGGGAAATCTGACTAATATAGAAAGATCGGTGCTAGAAGAGGAGTCATTGTACTGAGTATACCTGACTGTATGGTTTAGAAGGCTTTGGAACTGTTTTGCGAATGATTTTGGACAAGTTTAGAAATGTGGGCTAGAGAAGCCCTAGAATGATGTAAGAAGAGCCTGACGGGTGATATTAGTCAGAGCTCAGACTACCAGAATGCTGAAATAAAGGCCAGGCTTAAGAGGTTTCTCTTGGGAATAAGGACTTCACTCACACTGATTAGAGGCCATATTTGTAACACTCTGACAAAAATATTATCTATATTTAGCCAATGTCCTGAGACTTTGCAGGAGACTGAGATTAAGGGCTATAGACTTCATTGATCTTGCAGAGGAAATTTCAAGGAAGCCAAACATTCCAGCTTGGCATGCGTGTTGCTGGATGCTTTTAGCCAGATATATAATGAGAATCAAGGACAAAGAGCAAAGCAGAAAAAAAAAAAAAACATTGGACCAAAAAGAACTCTGTGTAAAGCTGGAGTCATCAGAAGTGTGGCTGTTAAGGAAATTAGCTCCATTAAAAAGAAACAAAGCACTTTGTACAGTGACATGAATATGCCTTGAAGGCTATTTGGAATTGGCAAGACCCCACCCATGGCAGGTTCAAGGGTATAAAAATATAAACTTAATTTGAGAAGACAGCACCTATGTCCCTGATCAGGAAAGATCACTTAAGGAATTGGATCCCCAGGATTCATTTTACTCTGCTCAGCCACACAGAAACTCAAAAGCCACTGCAGCATTGGCCCATGGTACCCTTGCTACTACCCACACTGGCAGCTGACTTTACTGATGCTGGTTTTTCTGGCATATAGAATGTGAGAGTTATGGAATCATGGAGGGAGGCTTCCAGCCAGATTTCATAGGAAGGCCTTGGAGGCCAACCAAAAGCCCCTAAGAGGGCAGGGCATAAAGCTGTGAAAATAAAGCCAAAGATGCCCTGGAGATGCCAGGAAGTCAGTGATGACAGAAATGTTAAAGGTTGACTGAGAAAAGCTGCCGGACCTGAGTGAAGCCACCCCATGACAGAGGTCATGTGAGCTCTTCAGCAAGGACATACGGGTAGGGCTGCCCAAGCTCTTTGGAACTCATATCTTATCAACAGGTTTCCAGGATTCTAGATATGGAACTACAGTATTGATGTTTGTCTGGATGGGTTTCAGTCTTGCTTTGGTCTGATTCTTTTCTTTCCCCCTCTTTCTCCCCTTCAGTATGAGACTCTTTATCCTACTTCATTGTGCTTTAGGAATATGTAACTTGTTTTTGATTCTTACAGGGTTTCACAGCTAACAGTTGGCCTTGAGTCTTAGGGGAGATTTGAACATGGAGTTGTTCATGTTGAAACTTTAGGGAAGAGATTTTTGAGTTCCACTTGTATGCAGAGGTGACTATTAATCATGATACTTCAACTTGATTGAATTAAGAGATGCCTGCGGAATTAGTAAAGCACATCTCTGGGTATGTCTGGGTGGGTCTTGGAGGCATGACTTTGGATATTATATTTGATCGCTGGTCTCTCTGGTGTTATTTCCCTGATCTGCTTCCTGTCTGTCATAAACTAAGTACCTGTGCTCCATCATGACCTTTCATCATGATATTTCTGTCTTGAAGTCAAATTACCATGGACTGTACCCTGGAAAGATTGACAAACTTGACTTTCTCCTCCTTTAAATTGTGGATGCAGAGTATTGTGTCCCAGTAATAGGAAAGCTGACTAATACATGGGGGCAGTTGTACAGTGTTAGGTGGAATTTATGATCTTCTGTTTATTTGTAGGATATTATGGTTTAATGAGTTGTGTTTGGGTATCAAGGTGACGGGGGGTGGTATGTAATACTTAAGGTGGACTGTCAACTTGATTGGCTTGTGAGCCACCTCTTGGATTAGCGAAGTGCACTTCTGGGTGTGGCTAGTGGGTCATGAAGTCATGATCTTGGGGTCCACATTTGGTTCTTCACCCATTCCTCTCTGGCACTATTGTGTTCTATTTCCTGGCCACTATGAGCTAAGCAGCTTTGATCCACCATGCCCTTCCATGGTGCTTCTGCCATGGAAACAGCCAACCAGGGACTGAATTCTCTAAAACCATGAGCAAAATAAAACCTTCCTCCATTAAGTTATAAGTCTGATATTTTCTCCCAGAAATGAGAAAGATGAATAATATATTCTTGAAAACAGCACAGATATTTATCAACAAATGAATGACTAAAGAAAATGTGGTGTGTATACACAGTGTAAATATTATTCAGTCATAAAGAAGAACAAAGTCATATCATTTTCTGGAAAATGGATGGAACTGGAATCCATCTTGTTAAGTGAAATAAACCATATTCAAAAAGTTAAGTATCATCCAGGCTTGGTGGCACATGCCTGTAATCCCAGCACTTGGGAGGCTGAGGCAGGAGGATCGCTGTGAGTTTGAGACCAGCCTGGGCTACATAGTGAGTTCCGGGTCAGTCTCAACTACATAGTGAGACCCTGTCTCAAAAAAAAAAGTTAAATATCACATGTTTTCTTTTGTATGAACAATCTAAAAACCTAAAAATAAAGGAGATGAAAGGCTGCTAGAAGGCAGATGTTTAGAGATGATAAGAACTAGGTGAAAAGGGAGGAAAGAGGGCTGGGGATTTAGCTTAGTGGTACCACCTGCCTTGCAAACTCAAGGACCGGAGTTCAATCCCCAGTATCAAAAAAAAAAAAATAAGGAAAGGGAAAGAAGGGAAATGAGGATGAAAATAATCAAATATATTATATCTATGTATGAATAAATCAAAATAAATCACATTATTCTGTTTTACTACTATGTACCAAAATGTCTATCCATACAATTGAATATTAGTCATCCATGACAATGAATTAAGAACTGATTCCAGCTATAACATGGACCTAAGAACCTGAATACAAAAGCCACATATCATATGATTTTTTTTTTTTTTTTGGTACTGAGGATTGAACTTAGGTCCTTGCCCTTGCGAGGCAGGCGTCAGTACTATTGAGCTGAATCCCTGGCCCTGTGTGATTGTATTTCTATGAAATGTCTAGAATAGGAATCCATAGAGACAGAAAATAGATTAGGGGTTGCCTTGTGTGAGGCGTGTTAATGAAGATGGACAGCAAACAGGCAAGAGCGATAGCATTGAGGTGATGGAAATGTCTAAATAGGGATTGTAGTAATGGCTGCCCCACTTGACCGATTTACTAACAATCCTGTGGTGTACACCTAAGACAGGCCAATTTTATGCCATGCATGTGCTATCTTAATAAAAAAATTTTCCCAAACCAACAAAGACACACACACACACACACACACACACACACAAACAGAGAGAGAGGCATCTCAATGCCTTGATAGTTTTCACAGGTGATACAGAGCTCATTAGTCTGTTTTCTGATGTTATGGCAGTGCTGGTGGTGAGGGCTGAGGGCCAGGCAATTATTTGGTATTTTAAAGAAAAATTTAAAAATATTGCTGGCTTGAAATTTGGAGTAGTGGGGGTGAGAAGTGGATGATATTTTTAAATATTCAGGATGTGGAAGTGACAGGACTTTATACTAATTAGATGCAGGCAGTGGAGGAGAGTGGAGATGCCTCCTACTGAGAGTGCTTAGGGTCGAATTCCTACTGCTCACCCAAATGTGCTGTGTTCTGCTGTGCTCTCAATTGCAGTGAGAGGATGAGCGTCCTGGCACAGACTAGGCATTCACTGGTTGTCTTTGGAGTGAACAAACACCGTATGAGGAACAGAACAAAGATAGATGAATGTCATAAAACGTGCCCAAACAAAGCAGCCACCAGGTCTTGCCAAACAGCCAGTCCTAAACTCACCCTGAAGTCTGTTCAACAGATGTCCAGCATGATTTCCCTCAGACTACTTGAGAAATCATCAGGCCCTTCCCTCAGAAAAACACCCATGTTTATATCAGGAACTCCTTGGCTAGCACTTGCAGGTGTGGCCCAGGGTGGGTTTCACCAAGTCTCTTATCCTAAAAATCTACACAGGACAATGGCAGGTCCATGTACAGCCCATGTGAGCATGGGGGATATTTGGTGTTATAGGAACAGGATGATGATGTTGCCCAACTGACGGGTCTATGTTTAGTTTGTCTCTAGGCAGGAACAGACTCTTGCTACCAAAGAGGTTTGTTAGTCCTGCCCCCACCCCACCTTATCTTTGGCAGGCAGAATACACAGCTGCCAGGAATGTCTTGGACACTGAATGATCAGTTTGGATATTTCACTTCTGTTCTCTGCGTTGACAAGCAGAGATAACAAACTCTCAGCGAGAAAAATAAGGAAATAATATGTCCCACCCCACACTTCCAAGAAATAAAAAACTAGGAAGGGTACACTAAGGAAGCCTCCAGACTCTACCACTGCAGTGAATAATCCCAAATTATACTAGAGAAGTGAAATTCGCTATGCAGAACAGAAATCTGGCTGGGTGAGCAGTTATGTTAGGGATGCAGATATTTGGCGAAGTGTAATTTTTTAACCCTTTTGAAACGTATCATTAGATAAACATTATTTTCAAAAAAAATTCAAACCATTTCTGACTCTTTTCCTGGAAGAGCTGTTAGGTTACAGGAAAAGTAATAAGAGTCCCTTTTCTGGGCATGTAGCCCAGGACTCAAAGGGAGGCTCTAGAGAACATCTGGTCATAGTGATATATAGATGCCAGCACTGTGTGCGTGCGTGTGTGCGTGCGTGTGTGTGCATGTGTGTGTATGTGTGTGTGCGTGTGCGTGTGTGTGTGTGTGTGTGTGTGTGTGTGGGTCTACTCTGCTGACTCATGGCATTGAAGCCTCTCTGGAAACACCCCCACCCTTCTAGCCAGCCAGTTGATACACACCCCTGGGGCTCCTCCTTGATTCAAATAATGTTAGGTCAAGAGGAAGAAAGAAAACAAATTCAAGAGCTGCTCTTAAGCGTCTAGAATTTCTGTGTCCCACCTCTCAACAGGAGAGACTTGGCCCAGATCTGCCTCAGTCCACTACAAGCTAAACTGTTCTCTTAAAGCACCAACATTCCTTGAACCTTTGGATACAACTGGAAGAAGAGTCCATGGTATTTCAGCCTCTGCGGGAGGCAGAGGTCTGAAAACCGGCAGTAAAAGCGAAAAGATGGCGAGCCCAAGGCCCAGCTCTCAAGCAGACCCTGAAATTGAGCTTTTTGTGAAGGTAAGTTTTCTAGCTGTGATAGCAGCATACAGAATATACTACTTCTTCACACTGTACTTCAGATTCTAAAAAATTCTCAACGTTTGGGCTAGAGATAAGAAAGAATTCTATAATTTTCTTAGTCTGAGTCTTAGAAGAATGCCTGGGTGTTTGACTAATAGATAGCAGGAAAACAGATCTCATTTTAAAAAAAAAAAAAAAGGCAAAATAATATAGTGGAAATAGTACTAGACTGGCTGACAGAACGACTAAATTTTATTTTCAATGGCTTCCTGTGAAAACTTGGAAATATCCCCGCCCTTCCTCCCTCCAGAGCATTGTTTCTCCAGCTATACAATGAAGGAGCCTGACAAAATTATCTAAAAGGGCTTTCCAGATATTACAGTCTGTATGAGATAGATTTTGAAAGACCTAAATGGATGGAGGAGAGGGTAAAAATGGCTTGAGAACTTTATTCCCTCAGAGTCCAGGCAGAAATTTCTAAAATTCTCCCACAAAGGACAAACATTGCAATGTAGTCACATGTACATTGTGGAAGAAAAAAGCAGGCGTCTGTGTGGTATTATGCAAGGAATAGGCATTTTAGAATGCTGTGCTTCCTCTTTTTGGTATGCCCTGAAGGGTTTTTTTTTTAAAATATGTCTTAAATTTTCAGAAAAGTACTGTGGAAAAACCCTACAGCAGGAGGAAGAAACATATGTTTCCAAATTAACTCACCAAGAAAAAAAATTTGTGTAGGTTACTACAAGTGAAAAATAATTTCCTAAATCCTTTATTACACTGTTTAGTTTTTCCATGTATTTTTGTTGACCATTAGAAATATTCAGGATAGTACAATAGTAGTAAAAAGAAATTCTTATATTGTACCTGGTCCATTTCTAAACACTTGTAAATACTTTTACTTGTATTACCTCATTTAGCCTCACAGCAACTCAGGAGATAGGCTACTATGAATTGTAGTCATCCTAGTATCATCTTCAGTAGTAGTGATAGTAACAGTTACTACTACACAAAAAATTTTAAGTTATTACAATATTATAATATTGTCCTCATCACTTCTAGATAAATATAGTAAGACAATAAAGTTTAGGCACATTTTTCCTAAAACTATATAGCCTTAATGGCTTTTCAAAGACATAAATTTTACTAAGAGTATCAAATGTTGTTAAACATCTATGGGCTAAAGTAATACTTTTACAACCATTTAGATTATTTAACAACTGGTCACATGGAAACATCAAGGACGTCATCAATCTGTCTTTTAAAAATTATAACAGAAAGAACCTTGAATTCCTCCATAGCTAAGTAATCCAAATATGTGATTGCTCAGACAGTATAAAAATTAGCCTTAGTTTTCTAACTAAACTTTTACATTTACCATTTTAAACAAGAGAGTGTTTCCAAAAGGTAGGGTACCCAATTCCTTTTGTCTACATTTTGTTCACTCAGACTTCTCAAGTCAGTTGTTGTATTGATAGACTTCCTATATTTGGAAAATAATATGGATGGAGAAGGATTATTAAATCACACTTTGGATGAGCAAATGTTGATTTGAATAATAATGTTCAATTTAAACTACTCTATCATTTATTGAGTAGGGTAGGTAATATAGTAAGTAGTTTATTACTAACCTCATTTTATGGATACAAAATTTAGAGGAAAGAGAAGCTGAGTAACTTTGACCAACATCATATAACTAGTGAATGAAAGAGTTAGAATTCCAATCCTTTGAAATAGCTACATCTGATTTCATTCAACTGTTTTCACTTGGGCTAGATTTAGTAAAACTTTCCAGAATTTCATCAGATGGGATGATTTAGGTGTAAACTTATTTAATTATTTAATAACACGAAAACAAATTACAGATTTTCTGAAAGGACCTTGAGTAATATCTGGCCCAGGCCTTTTGTTTTGCTTTGCTTTATGGTATCTTTTACAGATCTATAGGAATTTCATGGAAAATACTTGGGGGGGAATACAAGAGTTGAGAACAGTAAAAAATGCTAATGAGTAAGTTTAAAAAGCATTGTTCTTTACCAATGCTAACAAATGATTGCATAATTTCCAACCTAACTCTTCCCTGTACAACTGATTGGATTCCTACTTTCCTGTTACAAGTACAAATCTATTCTATATCACACCAATGTAGTCAGTGAACACATTGTCTTTCAACTCTGGTTTGAGAAGATTTATATCCAAGAAGGACTGGGGACTTAGTTCAGTGGTTCCACTGCCTGCCTCTCAAGCACAGGGTCCTGAGTTTGATCCCCCCACCAAAAAAAGATTTATATCCAAGAACTAAGAACAAAGAAGTCTATAATGTACATTTTATTTTATCTAAATGTTGGGCTCATCTTATTTGTTTGATATTCATTATTAAATTGAATGTTTGAATTCTCTATCAATCACTATAAAATTAGGTTTTGATAGATTTATACATAAAATTATGGAATCACATTTTGGGGCCCAAATTCTAAATGTAATTATTTGTCAAAATCTTTTTTAATAAATGTAAGAAAGGGGAAAGTGGTTATACTTTACTCTGAATGTTCAGACCATTTTCAAGCTTTTTAAAGACTATCATAAAGACTGATTAATTTAAAAATCCAAAGAAACTATTTGATAGAAGAAAGAAGTATTTGAGAGTGGATTCTGGAGCAGATAGTCCTGAATTTGCTAAATGAGGAGAATATATGTGTTACCAGCTCTTGATTAGCTGAGTGTACTTTAACACGCCAGTTTCGGTGAACCTCACTCTCCTCATATAAAACAAAGAGTGATAACATAGCCCACTCAAAGGATTATCCTTATGGTGAGGTTTAAATAAAACAAGTATGGAAATAACAGTAGTTGGTATCATAGTAAGCACTCGGTAAAGGTTGGTTATTATTAATATTATTTTTCAAGTTTATAAACTTAGACATACAGAGAAAAAAATGTTTTTGCAAATGACCACACTTAGTCTTTGATACTTAAGGATACTTAAGAGGTAAGTAGTTTGTCAATTAAACTAGGGGATTTATAACCTAAAAATTTATGTGATGCTACTTTAAACAACCATAAAATAAGTAGGAAAACTTGAGTTTTCCTGTGAAGCTTTATTCCATTTCCCCACACATCAGTATTTTGACTCTACTTTTGTCAAAGGAGATCCACCCTTCCTGCTATATTTATTATCAGCTTCATTCTTCTTCCTGCTTCCCACCCTTAATCATGTTTTACTTATTAAACCCAGTCCTGATTAAATGCTTAGTCTGATTTCTGTTACAAAGGAAGTGCAGCTGCCTAGGTTGGTTGCCTCTTTCCATACCTACTCATTCCCTGACATCAGGAAATAGCAACAGTAAATATTTCTTCAGTCACCCTCATTGCCAAGGAAAGGAAATTTTGCCAGAAAATTATGCACAAAAGTTATGCACAGGGCTTCTGGGACCTTAATATTGTTACAAACAACTGATGAAAGCACCATTAAAATGAAGCATCACTTATTTCCTTCTACAATCTACATATATTATATGCTAGTGGCTAAGTGACTGAGGCAAAACAGAAAAAATTGAGTCTAAGAGACGGGAGATGCTAATAGCTCGGACTTGGGTAGTTAACACCTAACAGTGCCTCACAGATCACAGATACTAAGCATCAAATAAACATTGAATGAATGATCATGGCAAAGGAAAGAACTAAACTTATTTGGAAGATACCTCATAGATAAAATTGACAGAAGTTAGTGTTGGATTCATTTGGGGGGGTGAATTAAAAAGATGTTTACCAATTGTCTATCTTGGGCAATTTAGTAGGTGATGTGTCAGAGTGCCATGACAAAATGACACAGAATGGGTGACTGTAACAAAAACAATTATTTCTTACAGTTCTAGAGGCCAGAAGCCCAAGATCAGGCTGCTAGTATGGTCATATTCTGTTGAGGGCTCTCTCTTCCTGACTCGGAGACCTCTACCTTCTCTTCTCTGTGTCTTAACATGACAGCAAAAGAGAACACGCCCCCTGGCATCTCTTCTCATAAAGTCACTAATCCAATCCCAAGGTCCCCACCCTTAGGACTTCATCTAACTATAATTACCTTCCAAAACACCCCATTTCCAAATGCCATCACACTGAGGGTAAGGCTTCAACATATGGATTTGGGGAGGGGACACAATTCAGTCCATAGCAAATTCACAGAATTAGGGGCCCTAAAGAAAGAGTAAGTTTGTATCTAAAGTAAAGAAAATCAATTGAAATTTAGTTTGGGATGCATTGAACCTTAAGAATCTTAAAAACTTAGGTCTCACATGAGGACACTTCTTCAGTTGTATCCCTCTCAACAAGTAGCTGACTTTTCTTCTCCATCCCTCTTACTGTTGAGCATGAAGTTGGGTTAGGTGTCCTCTAGCTATCCTCATTCCTCATTGATGTTTCCAGAACTAGTCTACCTCTCTTCTGAAGAAAAAAAATTAAGCCGAGTCACCCATTACCTCTCTTTATTGTTGTAGTCTTCCAAATCCCAACTCAGTCTCTCTCTCTGTCTCTCTGTCTCTGTCTCTCTGTCTCTGTCTCTCTCTCTCTCTCTCTCTCTCTCTCTCTCTCTCTCTCTCGGTACTGGGGATCAAACTCAGGACTTTGTGCTTGCGAGGCAGGCGGCAGCACCACTCAGCTACATCCCTGGCCCATTCTCTCTTATTTATTGAGGATCATTGTTAATCTTTCCAATGCTAGTCATCCTAATTCCTGATGATTTTAATACCTATACAGGTGACCCAACGCTGATATCTCGGATTCTTTACTGCCTCTCCTCAAGAATCTAATTCTACATCATCTCTCAGTTACCCCTCCCACTGTACTACCATTACACTGGTCATTGCAGTGTCTACAACCTCTTCATAATATCATTTATTCGGGATTTTGGGGGGCCTGCTTTTGAGCTTTTCTATTTTAGTACACTTGATCACTATAATTTACATAAAGTAAAATGTAACCATTTGAAGCACATAGTTCAATGGCTTTTGACAAACTTATATGTATATGTAACCACTATACCAATCAAAATATAGACTATTTCCATCAGCTCAGAAAGTTTCCTGTGTCTAAGACACATTTCTTAGCAGATCTTTGAAAAGCAGCTTTCAGCTTTGATGAATTTATGCATTTTCATCTTTTGTCCCCCACTCTCTTATCAGTTACACTCTCTCAGTTCCTTATATGTATCATGGGAAAGCCTATTGCAAGGCCTTTGCACATGCTCTTGTATATGTTTAGAACGCCTTCCTCGTGCCCATTCACCCAGTTAATTCTTACTCCTTTACAATGTTTAAATGACACTTTCCTCAGCAAAGGCTTTCCTTAAAAGATTTCACAGAGATTTCTCTGTTACACATAGTGAAATATACTTCTGTCCTTCAGAGAAGTTATTGCTATTTTAAAATGAGAGTTAGCTTGGGGTATTTTTATTTTAATAGCATATATATATATAT